GTAACATTTCCGTCTCACGCTTGAGGTATTCGGCTAATCACAACGCACTGGATAGCTGGCCAATCAGAGCACACCTCGCTTTTTCAGACCGATGAGCTTTGTAAAAATCGACGCGTTTCAAAAAGGCGGGGCATAGAGGAGAAACAATTATGTACAGTATGTGGAAAATAATGTGTTTTTTTAACTTTAAACCGCATAAACACATTTCATTACACCAAATACACCAAATAATGTTCTTTTTAGCAGCATCATATGACCCCTTTAAAACATGGTAAAGTTATTCAAAAGACCTCCTTTTGTGTTCCACAGAAGAAAGTCATATGGATGACATGAGTTACATGATCACAAATGATCACAGAATTTGCATTTTTTTTAGCTGAACACAAATCAAATGGCCGAACTGACAGCCTCTTTCCAGCCAGTGTTCACAGTTAAATAAAGCAGTCTGATCTAATGCCTGTGTGGCCTGTGAATGCGATACAGAGAAAATGACATTACCGCACAGCCTCTTTAATCACTGTCACGCTTTACAGGTTTAGCAAGTGGCAACAGCTTCAGTGTCACGCACCACCACTTTAATACTGGACCGCAAAGCCCGAGGAGAACAAGCATTTCAGAAGAGTGAATAAAAAAAAGTGTCCTGTTATTCGACAGGAAGAACCTCATGCCACTGTACCACCAGTTTGGTCATGGTGAACATGACTCCAGGGGAATCAAGTGAATGCAGGAGATTTAAACGCTGTCAGGTTTCTAAATCGCTTTATAGCACAATTTTGCGCCCCCGACCTCCCGCAGTATGCTATCCGAACCAGTCAGAATGCAGCGCGCCTAAATGGAGCACGAGAACAGAACAGACCGGGCGGGCATACAAACGTAATGCCAGGTTCACACACTCCGTCTGTGGTGCGTATTTTTTCCGCGCCCATGTTAACGGATCAGAGCGTTCACACTGCACGCGATTGCAGTCCGGCAGTGTGCTCCAGGAGCGGTGTGTCTGCAGCAGTCATGCTGCGATCGTTTCCGCACGGAGTCTATTTCTGCTGTGCTGCACGCGCTGAATTAAAGTGACAGCGCATTATTCGCGGTAAAAATTAACATGGATTGACACGGAAATTTTGTAATTACACCATAAATGCATATAATTAATGTCTACTGTTTCACAGTCAACACATGGCTTTTTGGCTAGATTTAAAACAAGGAAAAGTGCACTTTTAGATAAACAAGGCAATAATAGATGGCACTCGTGGTGGTAGTTAAACAAAGTTATATTTATTGAGTTTAAACGTGGATATGTCTATGAAAGATTGTATTACTGTACTGTGATAAAAGAGAATCACAATGCTTAAAAAGCATTTTCAGAAACAACGTTTGGATTTGAAATCAAAATAATGGATAAATATTGTGTTTGTGGTAAACAGTCGCGGATCAGGAGCGGACTACAAATTCGTCCAGTGCGAAAGCAAAATGAGTCCATGCTGCTTCTGCACTGCATACACATACTGTATACGCACTGCAGACGGAGTACGCGTGAACCTGGTGCAACATATCTATTTCAACATCTGAGGCAACGCCACAAAGAGCTCTATGACCAATGCATGGCTAAAAAAAATCCCTGGACACGGGATTAGTTTTTTTTGTTTTTGCCATATGTCTATTCTAGAGACATTTTGTTACACCTTTACTTAGTGATTATTTTGCCTTATGTCTGTTCTAGAGACATGTTACAGCTTTTTGATAAAGCTCTAATTGGTTTTCTTTTGGAAATATGTTTCAAATTCACACTGACAGTGATTTCATCATCCAGCTCAGTTCAGTTTTAATAGTATCTGTGCAATCAAGTGGACGATATCGCTGGATATTAAGTGTCCTCAACTAAGCAAGCCAGAGGCGACAGCGGCAAGGAACCAAAACTCCATCAGGTGACAGAATGGAGAAAAAAACCTTGGGAGAAACCAGTCTCAGTCGGGGGCCTAGTTCTCCTCCGGCCAGATGAACCATCATGTTGATCCATGCTGCAGCAAAGTTAGATTGTGCAGAGGACTCATCTGGTTCTGTGGTCTTGTCCCGATGGCTGTCTAGGAGACAAGGTCTTCACTGGGGATCTGTCTCTGGGGCTCATCTAGTTGTCCTGGTCTCCGCTGAAATTCAGGGATGTACAGGTCGTCTCTAAGTGCTGATCCACCATCTGGGCTGGATACGGACTTGATCTGGTGGCTACGGTGACCTCAGAATAAGAAAGAAACAGACTAATATTAGCGTAGATGCCATTCTTCTTACGATGTAACAAGTACATCGTATGTTATTGGAAGTGTTCCCAGTTTCGGTTGACGTAATTAATGCAGCCTAACAATCCTTTAATTCTGACTTTTTTCGCAATTGGGAGTTTATATCTCGCAATTCTGACTTTTTTTCTCAAAATTGTGAGATATATATTATAAGTTATAATGTCCAATTCTGAGGGGAAAAATACTGATATTTTCTCAGAATTCCGACTTTATATCTTTATTGTGTGCTGTAAAGTCAGAATTGCATGATATAAATTCACAATTACCTTTTTTTGTTATATTTGTTATATTTATGTATGTATCATAATGTGATAATGTATTATTAAATTGTATTATTATGTATATTATAATATTTGATCACATTAAAGTAAACATTTTAGTTATATTTTTGTTAAAAAAACATTTCAGTTTTTTTGTGTTCATAATAGTTTTCAATATTTAATATCAATATTTTTTTTTCAATTATATTGAAGTCCTTTATTTTTATTTAATATTTTTGTTAGCAGTTGTTTTCTTTGCTGCTTTTGTTTTCATAATAGTTTTCATAATTTATTACTTTATTGATTATAAACTTAAAGGGGTCATATGATGCTGCTAAAAAGAACATTATTTGGTGTATTTGGTGTAATGAAATGTGTTTATGCGGTTTAAGGTAAAAAAAAACATTATTTTCCACATACTGTACATTAGGGCTGTCAAAATGTCTGAAAAACTAAATTCGAATTTTCTACTTAAATATTATCAAAATTCGAATTATATTCTAATTTAAAAGGCATAATTTCAGTTAGGGGAAAAAAGCTTTTGGCCACAAGAGGCCACAAGAAGGCGCATCGAGCAAAATATTATGCACGTTTCTTCAAAGCGTAATAAAATAACACGACTATCTTTGAAAAAATGTGCATAATGTTTAAAATAATGTTTATAAACCATATATAATTAATAAAGTTGCTTAAACAATTAGAAAAAAAACAGCACCATGCATGTATGTATAGTTTAATACAAAGGACCAAAAACCAATCACAAAGAGTAGGCTACTTTCTTCATTTAAAAACATGAGATACAGTGGGATGGGGAAAAACCGCCATAACGTCTTTAGACATGTTTTTTAAAAGTTGAACTTGCATTAATTTTACATGGCTTTCTAAACATGTTTAAATTGTTTTTAACTCTGCGAGACGCGAGTACAATGCTGATAGATGTCCCTCTTGGTAAACATAATTTGACGATACTTCTACGTTTTGTTCTACAACGTAAATTACACACATCCGTACCCAAAACAAAATTTTTTAAGCAGGCTTTATTTTACTCATAAATTGATAAACCCCATTATAAAACCCCATAGGACAATCTGGAAGGAACCCGCGGCGAATTACTCTTCCGTTTTCTGACGTCATAGCCTATAAAAACGCTATATTTTCTTTATGTAATGTTGCGGTGTTTATTATAAACAATTGCAAACTGAAACGTAATGAATGAACTGACCCAAAGAATCACAAGACATCTTATTTTAATAGTTTCTAAATAACACACCGATGGTTTTGTGGGTATATATTAACATGTAAATAGTTTTTTGAGGTTCAAACAGCAAAGCAATTAAGAAAAACAGACATAAGCATCAAGTATGGTGTCAGATGAAAAATGTAATTTTTCTGAATCACTGGTCCATTACACCGTCAAAAACATTTAAAAACAAAGGACCTGAGTTAAACTAAACCATGACCTGAAATCCACTGATACATCTGGTATGCATTAAACGATTATGATTATTATCACTTATATACACTCATGATTATACTTATGTAAACACAACAAAGTCAAAGTACAGTAAAGAATAAATCATTACATAATTGTAAATCTAACCGATCACGTCGATCTGACTTTTCCCTGAAGTTTCCCTTATCGCATCCCATCACAAACATTGTGAATAATGTTTTACACTTTGTATTAACTCTGAAGAGAAAAAAACACAAAATTAGAGATCAAGACAAAATCAATCACATTTTTCAAAGTAAATAAATCTCAAAGAAAGTGTAAAGTCTCCACAAAAAAGGGAAAAATACACACTTGATAACATTGAGTATAAATAAACACAATAAAATTAGTTAAATGAAGGCCGCCACAAAAAAAACAAAGGCAAAGAAAGGAAAAAACTATTAGAAAAGGTGCGGTAGATTTAAGGACGCACTTTTTACTCTTTCCTGAATTACATCACAATCACCGTCACAGTATTAATCATCTATCATCATCATCAGTATTATTATGAGTTTTCCTGTCAAATTAGATTTGAATGAATATTTCGCACAAAAATGAAAATTCTGTCATTATTTACTCACCCTCAAATTTCTTGAAATCACATGATTTTTAAAAGACATTTAACAAAATGTTCAGGCTGCTGTTTGCCATACAATAACAACTGATATTTTATTTTCAAGAATTGTTTTATTTTCATTTATTAAAAATAAAAACAAAACAGACATATGAACATTCATATATATTCATGTCTGTTGTTTTTTTTAATTGATGAAACAGACACGTATGTATGATGATATGTATGTATCTGTGTGTGTGTATATATATATATATATATATATGTGTGTGTGTCTGTTTTGTTATATATATATATATATATATTTTAAAGATAGTCAATAAAATTAATATTCATAATAGTCGTGTTGGGTTATTGGAGTCTCTGAGCATAAGATGGACGTGAACTTTAAGAGTGTCTCTCTGCTTTCTCCTGTTGACTAGCATTCTTGATTACAGACACACACATGTGTTTGGAAAGTAACTCAGTTGTGGTTACTATTCCCCAAAAAAAAGATTTTCACAAAAAAAAAAAAAAAAGATTACAACTGAATTTTTATTTTTGAGAGAACTATTCCTTTTAACCGAGATGGTCACAAAATATTTACTTCAGCACAATTTTGGCTTTGCAGCTGAAAGCGACACTAAAAACAGTTTCATTTCTAATTAGAAATAACAGGAAAAAACTGCTTGCCTATCATTCTTTTCATCAAGGCCTGTGTCATTTCTTCACAGGGCATCGTTAGTATAAAATCGACCCATTTTTAGACTCAAACAGTGGCTGATCTATAAACCTCACTGATTATCCTTATCTTAAGGCCAGCCGCCAATATTTTAGTGTATATCTTTGTATGCTAAAGATTACATTTGCAAAGCAAACGCATTTGTTGGTGCCTAATCAAAAGTACATAAGCTTTGGTAAAAAGACAAATACAGAAAAGTAAGCGAATATTCACCCAGCCCGGCTACATTATCAGACCTGCGCATTACGAGGCGTAAAGGCAAAGTTAAAACAACATGGGAAGGGTTTCCCGTGCTGTTGGTCAGGTGGGGTTGGGCTGGGTTCACAAAAACACATTAGAACACGGAAAACAGGGAGCCGAGGGCCAATCCCGTCGCAGCACCGGCCAGCATCCCCAGAGCAACGTCACCTGTGTCGTCACGCCGGCGCTCCTGAACTATGACCTGGTTGACGCCGGGTGCGTATCCGCCTGATGGAGACAAATAAACAAACGTCAATCAAACTACATAAAGGTTATATGTCAGAAGTCAACAAACTTCCTGTTACCTTGATAATGATACGGGTAGGCAACTGCATACTGCTGGCCATCTGCGGAATAGACCATCTGTGTGGCATAAGGCGGAGGATGAGGAACATAACCGCCATATCCATCAGGATAGAAAACCTAGATGAAAATCAGGGGAAAAAATCAGGGATGCATGATATTAAATTAATATATATATTTTACTTTTTAATCATGCATGCTCCTTTCCCCTATTTTTATATTCAAATTATTTGTTTTTATTTGTAGCGATTTTTGTTACATTTAATGATTAAAAAAATAATAATTATAACATTTTATTAAATTATTTATTATTCTATCATAAAACAACTATTTTTCATTTTTATTTATTATACATTTTCTTTAGTTTTTTGTTATATTTAATTACATTTTACATTATTTTTTAATCATAAGAGTTTTTTTTATTTTTTTTATTACATTATAACAATTAAATTATTTCATTATTTTACCAAGAATTCTTTATTATTGGCTCTGGAATATTTAAAATTTTAACTGTACAAGCTCATTTTACATATACATTTTTTTTTTTCATTTATTCTCTCTCTCTCTCTCTCTCTCTGAGCTCTTCAGGCAGTTCCTTTGACCTCATGATTCTCATTTGCTCTGACATGCACTGTGAGCTGTAAGGTCTTATATAGACAGGTGTGTGGCTTTCCTAATCTAGTCCAATCAGTATAATCAAACACAGTTGGACTCAAATGAAGGTGTAGAACCGTCTCAAGGATGATCAGAAGAAATGGACAGCACGTGAGTTAAATATATGAGTGTCACAGCTCATCTGAATCTGAAGGGTCTGAATACTTAGGACCATGTTATATTTCAGTTTTTCTTTTTTAATAAATTTGCAAAAATGTCAACAATTCTGTGTTTTTCTGTCAATATGGGGTGCTGTGTGTACATTAATGAGGAAAAAAAATTAACTTAAATGATTTTAGCAAATGGCTGCAATATAACAAAGAGTGAAAAATTTAAGGGGGTCTGAATACTTTCCGTACCCACTGTAAATATGGAGTTATGTTTAATTATATTTTAATTATTTTTAATAATTCTAAAATTGAAATTTTAATTGTAATGTACAAATTATATTATCTACATTAGTGTCCTGTTTTCATCAGATGAAGTAGTTAAAACTGAAAGCAGTGTTTTATTGAAACTGATAACAGCCTTTTTATAGCAGCCAATATACTTCCAAGCATTGCTTCTAAACGTAATCTGACCTCAATTGTTCTTCCTGGTCAAACAAGTTTAGAATCAAACAGAAATGACAAAGGCTAATACGAGCTTTAAAACACATGCAACAACATAAGCTGGATATCAGAGTACAAATAAATTATTATTTTTTGTAGTAATCAACATTTGTCACAGTCATTTTCCTTGAAATGTATTACCTGTGGAGTTGTGTTTAATTCAGAATAGGGTGGAGGAGCTGACGCTACGACGTCCTCGGCAAAACCGACCTGAGGAGGCGGCACAATCTACAAAACACATTAAGTCATGTCAGCTTCTGAAATCAGCTCCAGAAGCTGCGCTACTGGAAATGTTAAATGTGAAAGTATTGTCCCACTCAGACTGCGTTTGTGTAACTCACAGTGTTGAGTCTGGCGTCCTGAAGTGCCATGGTCCAAGCCCTGCGACAAAATACATCGAGTTAGTGTCAAAAAAATCGTATTTTGAAGAACACATTGTAAATAATAATAATAATAATAGAGAATTTGACTCACAAAGCATCGTCTGCACTGTCTGCGCAGATGCTGATGACCCGACCGTCCCGGCAGACGATCTGCAGGAGGGAGTCTTTGCTTTTGCCTTCAGGAGGCGTGAGCTCTGGAAATGAATAATGGAAGATGAAGAACAACAACAACAACACATGGGGACCTTCAAGTTACTTGTTCTTTACTTTTTCCATCCTCTGTTGGTCTAACGACTTGCAAAAACCTGTCAAGTACTACATAAGAAAAATTCGAACAAAAACGTTGCATTCGAATGTGGATTTTTTTTATTTTTTTATTCCACGAATATTCGAAATTCGATTTTTTTTTTTGACAGCCCTAATAAGAAGGCACTTTTGAGGTTTTCGCATCTTCCGCGGTTCAAAAGCAGAAGGAAAGACGGCAGATGAAGACTGAAGTGCGGATCACACCCACCTCTACATGCGCTGGCATTGCGGATGTTAATGCAGTCCACCTTCATGTGGATCTCGTCTTCCATGTCCCGTCGCTGCTGGTCATCGTAGAAGACCAGACGTCCATCTGACCAGAGGTCAAACCAGTTCCTCTTCCAGCGCCGCAAGATGGTGCCTGATAGATTTTATAAATACATTTTTAATGACTTTTTACTATTCTAAAATGTTATTAAATTATTATTATTTAAATTACATTCTAAACAAGTTGTATTAAATGTATATTTACATGTTATAAATGTATTATAAATGTATTAAAATGACAAAATATATAATAAGTTTTATTATAATTTATTTAGACAAAATAAGTTTAATATCAGCCATGTTTTAATTACCTTTTTATAATAAAAAAATAAAAATTACATTATAAAATAATTAAATTATAAACTGTATCTGCATATATATATATATATATCATATTATGAATGTAGTATAAAATAATTAAAATATTAAATAAGAAAAAGACTACTTGTTAATGTAATCTGACCTCGATTGTTCAAGCAAGTTTAAGCAAACAGAAATAATGAATTCATCATCTAAATAGAGCTTAGACTTACAAGACAAACAAGATACAGCCTAGATAGTCAGCTTACTAGGTTTTGAGACACAAAGTTCAGCTGTTTTTCAACTTCCGTCTAAAAACTCGTGCCAAGATATCAAGAAGAGGACAGGAAACTATTTGTGCATGTTTTCTTTAGTGAATAAAAACTAAAAGCAAAACTTAAAAAAAAGCTTTTCAGTTCAACCTCAAGGCTAAACATTTCGCATAACCTTAAATGATTTATATTTCACGAGTTCCCAGAAAAGGGTTCATATGAATTATAAAACATGCTAAAATGCTCAAATTAGACAGCAAAAACAACTAAAACGAAGGATTTTAAGGACATAAATGTGGTGTAATAAACACTCACTTTGTCTGTGCAGCCATCCGCTCTTCACAAACGCCATCCTCCAATAAACTCACTATCTAAACATACAAAAACAATTAACTTAAAGCCTTTTTACGTATATAATATTAAGCTGAGCCCATGTACATGCATTTATTGCTTATGTTAGACAGTAAATGTAGTTTAACGTTAGCTGTTGAACTTCTCCGCCTATCAGTTTCAGAGTTAGCTTGCGCTCGCGGCGCCGATGTGCAAAAAACGACGACAAACCGACGAAATAAACATCCAGAGAAATCCCAAAACAACTAAAAACATGTCGAAACACTATACTTGTCATATTTATGCAATATTAAATGGGTTAAAAGAGTAAATCTACCCTCTTTGTTGTGTTGACGTTCGAAGCGTGTGCGACTAGCAGAGTGATATCAGCAGCATCCTCTCAGCTGATGCCTTATGTCACCGTATCAGATGACCAACACGGCTTTTATCAGGTTTCGCAACGAAATAAACATCCAGAGAAATCCCAAAACAGCTAAAAACATGTCGAAACACTATACTTGTCATATTTATGCAATATTAAATGGGTTAAAAGAGTAAATCTACCCTCTTTGTTGTGTTGACGTTCGAAGCGTGTGCGACTAGCAGAGTGACATCAGCATTATGTCACCGTATCAGATGACCAACACGGCTTTTATCAGGTTTCGCAGACTTTTATATACTTTACACAGTTTGTTTTGATGAGATACTATAGTACAGAGCGTTTTTAGGACAAATAATTAATATATTTAACATGTAGGGATCAAAGCAGACGTAATGAAAAGACATTCGAGAATATTCCTGTGAAATGAAACTTAATTCTTCTTTTAGGTGCTTTTTACTTATTTCAGAGTGTTAACAAACTAAATAAGGTTTTAATAAGTTACAGGTGTAATATATTATAAAATATTGTTATATTATAGATAATATGATGATGTTATAATGATATTAATATAATGAGACGGAGATTTTATATAGCCTAACAATAAACTATAGCATAATATTTAAAATTATGTATATATTGTTTACATAAAATAGAATATTTTAGAATATGAAATAAATTCACACACACACACACACACACACACACACACATATATATGTTATAAAATATTATACAACATAATAATAATATATTTTTTCTTTTTATTACTTTTTAATATATTTGTAACATTTTTCTTAACATATTCATTTAAATGTATTTTTCTTTTTCAATACATTTCACAACCTTTTTCAGTATATTCATTTATATTATAAATCTTATGGTGCATTACATGAAATATTATAATATATTATTTCATATTTTTTATCAAGTTCTTTTAATTTCTTTCCTTTACCCTTTTCCTTTAATATCACAATTATTACACCCAACCACTCAACACACACATTATATAAATGTGAAAACATTTAATAAAAATGTGAAATGTTATGAAATGTTATATTATAATTTAAGTATAATATAAAATAATTTAAATATAATATATGATAAAAAATAAAATGATATATTATATATATAATTTAATTTTTATCATATATTATATTTAAATTATATGACATTATATTATATTATACTTAAATTATAATACTGTATAACATTTCATAACATTTCACATTTTTTTCTTAATAAATCAATAAAAAAAAATTATTTCACATAAATTACACTTTTTTCTGTACATATATTTTAGTGACAAATACAATTTTATATGGAAGTTATTAAGAAAAGTATTGCTTTACTGTTGACTATATTTGTATGACTAGCATTTACATTTTAATTAAGGAAATAATATATATTTCCACTATATAATATATAATAACATTTCATAATTTTCCTTTAAAAATATTCATTATTTTTCTGCATGCATCAAATAGAATTTTACATGTAAGTCATTAAGAAAACTCTTTGTGTACTTTGCGATCTTTATAAAAATGTCATGTTCATACATGTAAACACTGAAAAGTTACAAAATTGTATTGCTCTCACCACTAGATGGCGCAGTTTCACTGGGAATGGGGTGCATTTAAAGCAGCACTATGTAACTTTTGGCGCTCTAGCGGTTAATAAACAGAAATTAAATAAGTAAATAAGAATGCTAAAATAAGTTCTAGGTTTGTAGTTATATATGAAGAGTTCAGATGCAAAAGCCTCTAAGTGCCATCTAAAATTTTCACACTTAGCTACTTCTCTAAGTTTATGTCTATGGCGATTCACGCAGGTATGTGTTACTCCGCAGCGGTGACGGACCCGACCAGCCTACAATAGTCCAAATATAAGTACTTATTATAAGTGTACCGTAGTGATTCGGAATAAGACAAAAACGCGGTTTGGAAGATGAATTCATGATGTACTCGCTCATTATATACATTTTGAAAATTTTGAACACAGAAAAAGTTACATAGTGCTGCTTTAAAGTTCCTGCAAAGGAAAACGTGCATTATTGTAATATTTTTGCACAAACCCATGTATAGTTTGTCTTTTCAATGAAAAGTAACCAGTAACCTTCATATGAAGTTCTGCGTTTGCATCTGCAGTCATCGTGTTCCTCCATCACACTGCATTTGCCTAAGCCTTATCCAGCTCAGTGTTTTCCTAGTGACCTTTCCCACTGACAGCTTATTGAATGAGGGTCAAAACCAAATCATACTGAATTATCAAACCATAAACCCTCATTTATGAAGCGTATGGAGCAGAATTGCATTAGATCACTTCACATTTGCATTTACACTAGCAAACTGAATCACAAACCACTTTGAGATCCAGTTTAGCATTCAGATGCTCAAGGTTAGGGTAATATGGTGCAACTACAGTGACACTTCTTTAAATGGACTGCTCTGAGAACAGATAGCCGGATGTAATCCTGTACTGTAACTTGTAGACAGTGTCCACTTCCACAGCTGGGATCAGAGCAAGTCGGTTGGCACAGCTAAACTCGTTCCAGTGCTGGTGGAAATAATCTCATCCGAGCCTCGTTCACTCATACTGGGGAGGCTCGTCGGGGCCAGATTGAAGTGATTTACGCAACAATGTCTCGCCAGTGGTTGGCTGTTGCGGATTTTGTTTCGTCTTAATCTTTGGGCAGATTAACCGACCGAACCAATTGTGTGCCTCCACGGGACTAATGTGTGGGGAGAACTTGTGAACTCAAAACAGAGTCCCTGCAAACTTCATCTAGACGAGAATATATTGCTCTGGAGGAAGTATAATAAAATGTTTTTTTTCTGGATACTATGATGGTCAGCTATGCATATGACATCAGTGACTGACAGGTAAGTGTCATTGAAGTTTACATTAGTGCTTGTGCTGTTAAGTGAGTTTTTGTTTTTACAGTATTCTGTAGATCTGCAAAATGTAGAGTTTGTAATAGTTGTTAATCGGATATAAACCTACATAAAAAAGATTTAAAAAATTATACACATATATATTATTAAATTATATTAAATAATAAATAGTATTAAATAAAAATATAAATAGTATATAAATATAGTATAAATAATATAAATAGTATTTAGTCATATTTAATAATAGTATTAAATAATAATATATAAATAAATTGGTGTTTTTTAAATAATTGAAGGCTGAAAAATGAATGACAATGAAGACTGAAAATTAAAATAAAAAATATTAATAAATACTATAATAGTATATAAACATTAAAATAACTGCATGAGGATGAGTAAATAATGACAGAACTTTACATTTTTGACTGAACCACCCCTTTAAAACATGTTTTTAAGTTTAAAAAAAAATTCAAACACACACACACACACACATATATATATATATATATATGCACACACACACACACTTATATATATATATATATATATATATAGATAAAATACTGTTTATAATATAGTACTTGGTAATATATTATATAATATATTATATATGATTTTAAATTCATGTAATATTTAATATATTTATAATCTATAATCTATAATTATATAATATTTATTTTAAAACATTTTAAACAATTTAAATGTGAGTCATGCACATAAAACTATTTATTATTTATTTTATATACACACGATATTACATTATTATATATTTTTTACATTTAAAATAATTGTTTACATTTAAATTTCAAAATGTAATTAAATAAATAGATGATAGATAGATAGATAGATAGATAGATAGATCTCTCTCTCTTCAGCATCCCTCCTCCTCTCTGCAGCTGTTTGATTTAAATGTAGCCTATTTACAAGGAGAGTGTGACTGTGACAGGACGTTTCAAAACTCACATAATGACTTTTGCTTCGAGCAGCAGCAGTGATTGCGAGCGTATCTGCTCATATTACCGGCCTCCTCCTCGCTGCAGGCAGGGCTGGGTCTGTGTCAGAGGAATGCACAAAGAAGGCGGCCTATTCATTTTGTGTCCTGCAGTTTATGCGTCCTTGGACCCAACTGTGCATGAAGTTCAAGACCCAGCCCAGTGCTCTCTATTACAGCTGGCTTTGCTTCAGAACTGGCCTCAGATCAGGGATTCAAGAAAAATAACCACGTATGAAATCTAAGTGACTTCTCTGAGTAAAAAAACAAACCAGACGCCAAAAGCTCTCACAACGTGACGTTAAATAGATTAATAAACACAAAGACGCGCACGAATTAACAAAGGAAATTCCTCGGCAGCTGGAATATGTGAACTTCCTCTCCTCTGCATTTAAGAATTCTTCCATCAATTTTCCACCCAAATTCTAGTATAGAATTACGCCCCTCCCACTCGGGGGCGGAGCTACGTGGGCCGCTCCACCAATAGGAACGTCTCACAGGTCAGTTTTTCTCAAAGGTGGTCAGGACTGTCTCCATAGCAACGTAGCGATCGTTCCTCAAAGTAGTTCAGTTTCTGTGACGCGAGTGAACGATAGCCAGTGCTTTCAAACGCAGCTGTTTAGTTGGCCAAATCTGAAGTGGGAGTGTGCCAAGCACACTTGAGCTGGCCAAAACAGCTGGAGGAAGAGAGAGAGAAGATTTTATAAATCTTGAAATGACTTTATAAGTGCGCATGTGGCTGCTGTGGAGGATAGACAGCAGATGGGCGAAGGAGGTAAGATGTTTGAAGAAGATATTTATTAGGCCTAGTTTTTCTTTTCTTCTGTCAGATTTACTGCTTTCGTGATCTTTTAAAGTTGTTTGTCCAGCTTTCATGGCCACCTGTGTGCGAGTCATTGCATTTTGTTTTCTTGACCCATGCTTCTGTTAGCTCCAGTGTTAAATATATGTCAGATGAGAGAAGTGCCCCCCCCGCGGGATGAGTGTTTTCGTTCCTGGTCCGACACGGTGACCCCCGTGTGTTTAGGGGTCACACCAGCAGCAGATGTCATAGTAATGATTTTAGGCTGCAGAACTGTAGAAATCGACCTGAGCTCAATGTAAGAAAGCGTCATGTATGACTTTTACTTGC